GCTAATTGCTGGCCAGCCTTCGTGGTTCACACCTGTAATCCTAGCACTCTGAAAGGCCAAGGCAGGTGGATTACTTGAGCTCAGTAGTTTGAAACAAGCCTGACCAAGAGCAAGACCCTGTCTGTACTAAAAATAGAAAAACTAGCTGGGCATCTGTAGTCCCAGCTCCTTAGGAGACTGAGGCAAGTGGATCCTTAAGCCCAGGAGTTTGAGATTGCTGTGAGCTATGATGCTATAGCACTGTAGCCTAGGGCAATAGAGTGAAGCTCAGTTTCAAAAAGTAGCACGTTGCTTTGCTATATATAAATGTTGCAGACCGATTTACAAATTGGATATATCTTGATTACCTCAGGTAAATCAGGATTTACAACTTGAAATAATGTTTATGTCATACTTAGCTAGGCTATCTAGCTAAATTTGAACCTATCTTATAAACAGAAAAGAAATAAAATAATCTTTAAGAAGTAGTGTTAAAAGTAGAAATTTAATATACTGTTTAATTATAACACTTGAAATTAGCCTGATTCTGGTTTGTTCATTCAACAAATATTTATTGAGCACCTACACATACCTGGCACTCTACTAAATACTAGAGTTTATCACTGAACAAGACAGATAAGTTTATCTTCATGTCATTTAAAAGATTTGAGTGTCTCAGGATTTATCTGAGAATGTTTTATCTTAAATGAAATGCAATCTTGTACTCAGTGAGCAGTATGGTGAGTTGTACTCTATTCTATTCTTTGATTTTGTACCTATGTGCCTGCATATATCTTCTAACAGAAGAAATATACTTACTCTGCTTATTAACAAGAGACATATATATATATTTATATACACATACACGTTGTGTTTATAATAGCTTTGTTGGGTGGCATCCATAGCTCAGTGGGTGGGGCACCCAGCCACATACACCGAGGCTGGTGGGTTGGAACCTGGCCTGGGCCAGCTAAAACAACAATGATAATTGCAGCAACAACAAAAATAGCTGGATGTTGTGGCGGGTGCCTATAGTCCGAGCTACTCAGGAGGCTGAGGCAAAAGAATCGCTTAAGCCCAAGACTTTGAGGTTGCTGTAAGCTGTGACGCCACAGCCCTCTAGCCAGAGTGACAGCTTGAGACTCTGTCTCAAAAAAAAAAAAACTTCAGCGTTGTGGCAGGTGCCTGTAGTCCCAGCTGCTTGGGAGGCTGAGGCAAGAGAATCACTTAAGCCCAAGAGTTTGAGGTTGCTGTAGGGTGTGACTCCATAGCACTCTACCCAGAGTGATAGCTTGAGACTCTATCTCAAAAAAAAAAAAAAAATAGCTTTGCTACTTTTATAAATGCTATTCTATAATAGTGAGCTATAACTTTGAACTTAGTTGGAGACTTTCACTTAAAATTATAGCTACAACTTCGTATCAGTTATTGACAGGCCTTAAGAAGCTTCTTTATGGCTGGGCATGGTGGCTCATATCTGTAATCCCAGCATTCTGGGAGGCCAAGGTGGGTGGATTGCCTGAGCTTACAGGTTCAAGACCAGCCTGAGCCAGAGCAAGACCTCCCCACTAAAATTAGTTGGGTGTTATGGCAGGCACCTATAGTCCTAACTACTTGGAAGACTGAGGCAAGAGAACTGTTTAAGCACAGGAGTTTGAGGTTGCTGTGAGCTGTGATGCCACAGCACTCTACCAGGGTGACAAAATGAGACTCTGTCTCAAAAAAAATAAATAAATAATGCTTCTTTGTGAGTAACATGTTTTCACGGAGCAAAACATTGAGATAAAAAATCTCTTAGTGAAAGTTTTTTTCATGTATGGTATTCTTCACTATTGTCTAGTGAATAATCAGACTGGCCATTTTTCTTAAGTGAATTCCCTTCTTTTTATGTAGAAAAAAGGTAGTAAAAATTAAATTAAATATGCTTATCAATCTGAGCTAGATTAGTCAGGCTGGCTTCTGAATCCTAATAAACTTTTCTGTATTTTAGATTAAAGCTTTCTGCACTGAACCAAGATAAACTATTGGTGGATATAAATAGAAACCTGTGGGAAAAAATGAGACACTGCTGTGATGAAGAGGTACCTTTGTCTCATTTTCTTAATAAGAAATCAGTACAGACATTTGGAACAGTGTTTATTATGAAATAAGTAACTATTCCTTGATCTTTACTGATGAGTTTGTTAACATTTCTTATATGTAATATGCTATCAAGGTATTAATTAATTATACACAAGTAATTAATAGTATGTACTATTTTCAAACATAAGATGATCAATTTAATGTATGAAATATATTTGAAATTTATTTAGAGTTCCTTCCTATGTGCCTTTCACTTTGATTTAGAAGAGATGAAGAAAAGATTTACTTTAATTGATTAAATTTTATGTGTCCAAGCAGGGCATGGTGGCTCACACCTATAGTCCTAGCACTCTGGGAGGCTAAGGTGGGTGGGTTGCTTGAGCTCAGCAGTTCACCAACCTAAGTAAGAGTGAGAGCCCCATCTCTTAAAAAAAGAGAAAAGAAAGAAAGAAAATTATGTATCCTAACATACTGAAAGA